AAAACACACAAACACAAAGCTTCTCTTCCTTCACCCTGGGACCATTACATGACCACATCATCAAATGACACGCTCAGGTCCCCAGTGTGACATCAATCGTCATTAGTGACGTGAAGCTCCTTTACTGTACTGACAAACACCTACCTCCAACACAGTCCTCTAACACACACACAGAGCTAGGAACTCCAAACACTACCTGCACACAACACACAGAAGAGACACTGGATCATGAAGCCGTTAAAGAAAGCCACAACCACAAGAGTGCAAATCCACCTGCACGTCTCCATGGCAACTCTTGAACATCTGGAGGACTGTGGATGAACACTATGTATATCTATATGCTGTAGTTGCATCGGTCTAGTCATCCGCACAACCATCAGGAGAAAGAAAAGGAATAAATGAGGGAAAGAGGAAGAGTGGCCCACAGCTGAGCCAGACGTGCTGCTCCTGAGAGGGCGTCTACGTCACACGCAGCATTTTGTTTTTCTTCTTTCAGATTTAGACCCTCAAAGGGGAGCAGAGGTACTTTTGCAAAAGCTTTGTGATCAAAGCTGAATTTTTTATTTTGGTTTTGAATTGTTGATTCTTTTCGTTCTGCGTTGGGCGAAATCTTCCCTCATAGCCATGTATTGCTAGTATTAACTGGAGTGGTGTTTTGGTTTTGTTTGTTTTTTTTGGTTCAACTAGAGTTTTAAAGGTGTGCCTGAGGTAGGCAGTTAGTTACTGTAAGTAGATTAGATGGTGTACTTTGATTACTGAGCGTAAAGGAGAAAAAGAGCCTGTTAACATGCTCGGTCTCACGTTTCTGGAGCTGTTCATTGGCTCAGTGTTCAAATCTTGTTACTTTGGAGGACTATTTGAAGTGATCAATCCAACATCTGCAGTGCAGCTCTAAACATCAGTCTGATGTTTCAATAATGGTGTTAATATTCTCTAAATAAGTGATGTTTGATCTTTGACATCTGCGCCTGCCAAAGTGTATTGTTGCTTTAAACGCAGAGTTAGGCACGGAGCGTCAGAGAGGAGTCTGACATTTTACATGGTTGCATTGTTTCTTACACAGGAAGCGTTTGACATTTTTGGAAACACTCGTTTGTGCTCTCGCAGGGTCGCGGTCTTCGAGCGGCAGCCTCGATTACCACTTCAGAGTGGTATCTCTCTGCACTCGTCAAAATGCCAAACCAGTCATTTAAACCCAAAATAGAGCAAGTTGTGACTTTACAAAGAGGTGATGACTTTGTGTTCCCCCAAGTCCAGATAAGGCAGCCTCGAGTCCTGTGCTGTCCTGGCGCAGAGGTCAAAGGAGCTCTGGAAGACATCAACCACTTGATTCATTTATCCAATAAACTGAGTGCTTCTGAGTTGTGCAACAGTGCAGTTTTCTGTTCATGGCTAGTGCTTCCAAAAGTGATGGTATGGCACAACCTGATGAATAAATGCAGATGATTGAAGCATCTGTCTGGATGACCTTTGTTGTTTATTTCTGTTGCTAGTCTTAGACTACTCTTGTCCAGCTGTCTGCATCGCTGCCTTTTTATGCAGATCTGAGGTCAGTGGTCAAGCTTCCTTAAACTGTGAAGTGTTGCCCCAAGCGTAGCCTCAAATCACCTACTTTTGTTAGCAGAGGCCTTCAGCGTTCAGTTGAACGCGGCACTGAGGAGGAACGGAAACTGCATCGCTACGTTTGGCTTTAATAGAAGTTTTGCCTTTTTCACCTGTTTTGTTTGTTCCTCCAAAAAACCCTGCTTGTGTGTACTGTATGTACCAAGGTGTTTACATTGTGGAAACTGAACTGTGTTTGAGGCGTTTTTTCTTTTGAATAAACAAATGACCAAATTCTTCATGATGTCGGTTTTTGAAGACATTTCTCCAGCTAAGCTATATTTTCTGTCATAGATAGTTCAATACGAATAAAATGACTTTGTTAACGCAAATCAGTGCGTTCAAGAAGTCCTGCTGAAGTTCAAACAGAATGGTGAAGGAAGGTGATTTAAGTAACTTTGAATGTGGCATGCTTTTGGTTCCAGACGGGACGGTCTGAGTGTTACAAAAAAAATACTGCTCTACTGGGATTTACGATAAGGGCTTGGAATAATCCACAAGACGTGCAGGTAACAGTAACTCAAAACCACTTGTTATGACCAAGGTGTGCAGAAGAGCATCTCTGAATGTACACATCAAACCAGATGGGATACAGCAGCAGAAGACCACACTTGAGTGCCACTCCTGTCAACTAAAAGCAGGAAACTGAGGACAACTCTGAGCTCACCAAAAACTGGACAGTGAAAAACTGGAAAATGCTTCCTAGTCTGAGTTTTGATTTCTGCTTCAACGTTCAGATGTTTAGGTCTGAATTTAGCATGAACAACATGAACGCATGGATCCCTCCCACCCTCCTGGTGGTGTCATGGTGCACGGGATGTGCCCTTGGCACATTTTGGGCCCCTTAGGATCAAGAGGCTACCTGAGTGTGGTTGCCAACTATGCCCATCCTTTTTACCACAGTTTTCCCACCCCTTTTGGATGTGGTGCAATTGGAAAATCCCATCAAGACAAAAGTGCACAAAGTCTGCCATCTAATCACTGGAATATGGAGTGTGCCACGAAGAATTGAGGCAGCTCTGAAAGCAAAAGGACTTCCAAACTGGCACGTGCAAGGTGTATGTAATAAAGTGGCCAAAGTGCTGCAGGGGAGTTTCATGACTTCGTAATGCCAAATCATCAAAACCCTTTGTTTAGTTCTAACAGGTTGGATCACCTGCATTAATCACATGCGGGGCTGCAGACACCAGCCTGCTGAGCTTGACCTCTGTGACTCTTTCTGCAGAACGAGAAAGAAATCAAAGCATATTCTGATAAATATGCAAACTTTAACTTCAAAGCTTTGATAAAAATCATAATGAAAACCAAGATTCAGTCACGTTGGAAAGAGCCGAAAGAAAAAGAAAAAAAAGGGGGGGGGGAAGACACGTCTCACTCCTGTACAACATCCACTTGCCCAAGTTTGAACACAAACATCGACTCCATCTGCTCAGGTGATGCGACAAAGACTCACAGCGGCTACTAAACTAAACCTCAACTGCTGCTCATATAATGGATTTTCAGAGTCAGGCTATCATTATATCATTGTTTTTATTACTATCATTGTAATTTTTCATCATTTTGTCTTTGCACAAAAAAAGAAAAGAAACAAAAAAACAAAACAAATAATACATTTTTCAGGAGTTGATCACCCCCTCCCAACCCCCCAAAAAACCCACCACTACAGTTACAGTTCGCTCAAAACACATTTAAATCAATGTAAATTACAGCAATGTAAAACGAAATAATGTCAAATAAAATCAACCCTGAAAGAGATAATATAACAGCAACAGCCAGAATAATTAGAATCCAATACCCAGCACCTTAATACAATGATCAACGGTTTAAAAGGAAAATCTGATGTATTAAAAACTGAAAGAACTAAAACAATAAAATTAAAATAAAAAAATAAAACGACAGTGTGTCATTGTGAGAGAAAGAAAGAAAAGTGTTCAGTTAGGTACAACCAGCTGACGGGCACCAGCCTTACTCCGACCCCTGCGTCTGTCCGTGTGTGTGTGTGTGTGTCTCTGTGTGTGTGGTTTCTTTTTCTGCATTGACAAAACTGGAGCATCAAACGCGACGAGAAAACGAGTTAAAGGAAGTGACTTCTTCTGCTTGTGGTTTCGAGAGTGAACGTGTGCTCTGAGAAGTCTTTCCTGCTTTTTTTTTTTCTTCCTTTTTCCTCTCTGCTCCAAACTACTCTGGACCAACAAGTCCTTTATATAAAAAAAGAATTAAAATAAAATAAAATAAAAGAAGGCCAAAAACGAACGAGCAGTAGTCGTCAACACCACCACCATCAACATCATTAAATACATCGACATGTCCTGCACCGGAGGGGAGGAGGGGGGCTGGGTTTGTCCGTGTGTTGAAGGTGCGCTTATACTTTGGGAGGGGAGGAGACAAAAAAAACAAAAAAAAAGGCAGCGATGATGCGATCTGACAGTGAGCCTTCACTGCGCCCCAAATCTGTACAAACTCGACGACACAAAAATATATTATCAAATCAAAAGTAGAAGAAAATAATTCACCATTCTTCGTCAATGTCGTCCTTAATCGTTTTTGTTGCTTTTTAGTTTTTCCAGTGATCTCTTACAACACAGTCTCGCACACATACCAACAACCACGACTTCGTGTGTCTGCTCTTTGGGAACACCGAGCTGGGGCGGGGGGCGTAGAAATGCGTCGGTACTGGGTTGACATTCTGGATATGAAGGCGTGATGCCAACCAAGAGGTACCAAAAAAAAAACACCATAGGAAACCAGAAATCATCTGAGCGTTTATGTGCTGACAAATGGCAACGAAAACAAACGCCCAGATTTGATTCTTCAAAAGAAAGGCAACTTTAAAATGAAAAGAAAAATTCCATCATCAGTCCTCCCCTCTAATAAGATGCTGATCTTTTTCCAGTGCACAACTCTTTAAAAGCCAATAAAGAAATTCAGTTTAAAAAAAACAAAACAGAACTAAAAGTACGGACTTACAAAGCTGCAGCCCGCAGGATCAACTGACCTCCTCGGACGTGACTGTGTGAAAGATTAAAAAAAAA